TCTCATGTGCTCTCTCTCTCTCTCTCATTCTGTCTCAAATAAATAAATAAAATCTTTAAAAAAAAAAAAAAAGAAAGTACACATGAATGACTAGTTATCATTAGCATACTCTAGAATGCTTTTTCTTACTCCAGATAAGAGTATATCATCTCCACTAAACACTGGATTTATAGTAATTTCAGGCATCAGAAACCAGTCAGAAATGCAATCCTATAAATAAAATAAAACTTCTATGAAAAAAATCCCATTTCTATTATTTTAATTCAATAATTTTAATGGTCTATGCTTACAGGTGTAGGAAAAGAGCTTTGCCAAATCCCCCTGGTGACTTTGCATATATCTACATAGGCCATAAAGGCAAAGACTTGAACACAACTAATAGGAGTATCAGCAGAACATATTACAATCCTCGTGGAAAACAAGAAATGGAAAGCTTGTAAGGAACTTCTACAAGACCATCTCCTGCTCACCTCCTCACTTCCTGGGTTCTGATGAGATATAAAGTTCTCTGACCCACCCCCTTCAAAATAGAGCTGCAGAAAAAAAAAAAACCACTTAGTTACGGTCTAGAAGAGGCTCCTTAGCAATGGGGCATCCCACAATTTGCACCTGAGTCATTCAGCCCATACTGCCTTGGTCATTCTTTTTGGTATGTGGAACAAAAATCACAGGGAGTTGGTACCAATGTGTCTAATTTCTTTTCTCTGTCCAAAATAAATAATAAACTGTCGGAATCTAAAAGGCCTTCTGTCTTCACTAACTGATCAGAGCTTTGGCTCTCCCTTATTTTGTGCATATGCTTAAAACAGGTATAATGACTACTTAATAAATAAATTCAGCATATTCTCAAATACACATGGAATATATTAGATAGTAAAATCAAATTATATTATTTAATCTTAATGTTTCATGATAGTCAAAATACAGTAGTGATAATTAGCTCAATACCTTATTACAGCAAGCAGCAATATCATAAAAAGTTAAGGGTCTAGAATTGGTATCATCCTAGGAAACAATACTGTAACAGAGAAGCAAATATTCATTCTAATCAGAAGGGATATAATCTGAAGAAAAAAAAAACACTTTAAAAAATGTGTAAGCTTTACTTAGGACTATAGTGAACTTCAATATTTTTCTTAGTAAATCAAGTCCTTTCTGAGACTATGAGGCTAAAATATACATCTAGAATTGGAAAAATTCATCAACTTAATTTTTATTACACTTACTGGTAAATGTAAGTTAGAGCATCCTATACTTTTCCAAACATGTAAATCATCAAACTTTTGTCTGCCAGAATAAAGTGAAAGAGCAAGTCCCATTCATTAATCCTAAAAGTCCTAAGAGTCACAGTGCCTTTCATCTAATTCTCAATGCACTCCTCTAGCACTGCATGCCATACACAATAAAGAAAACAACAGTAACCATTCCCTAGTTCCTTAATTAAAAAGTAAGATTAAGCTTGAGAAAAAAAGTTGACCAAATGGAATCTGACACCAGCCGAAGAAAAAAACTTGTAAGGGATAATCTACCATCCTAAATCACCAGCATAACATAACTGAACTCAGGAGGTTCACCGCTGGGGATGCATCAAATACAACACAACCCAAGAAAGTATTGAAAGAGATTTAGAGGCAGGGAAGAAGTAGTAATGATACATAAGACCTAAAAGCAAAGTTTTAAACTAAAGTATAATTTCTATTGCAGCAAATATTTCAACAAAATAAATTGAAGTCTAGAGCCCTGGCCATAATTTTTAGACCCATTTTATACATACGCATTAAATAAAATCTAAGGGGAGACATACCCCAATTTCAAATAAGAACAGAAAACCATTATACTCTAAAGCAGTCTCTTGCTTACAACTTACTTTCTAGCCCTCCTTCACATCTCCTTCTTAAAACTATTTGTTTCAGGGGCACCTGGGTGGCTGAGTCGGTTAAGCATCTGCCTTCGGCTCAAGTCATGACCCCGGGGTCCTGAGATGGAGCCCCACAATCAGACTCCCTGCTCACCTGAGGTGCAGAAAGGTTAAGTAACTTGCCCAAGAGCAAAGAGTGTAATTAGCAAGAGAAAGAGACAGGACTGAAACCAAGGAAGGTGCTCAGAGCTTACATTTTTAACCTCTATGTTCTAATGCCTCTTAATATAGTATGTAGCAATTAACTACATAGTAATTTGGTAAAAGAAACAAACATCAGTTGTATAAATTCTGTTAAAACTTTTTAATACCAAAATACAAATACTAAGTAGATACTACCCTATACATTCAGAATCAATATAGCAAATCCTGTTCTCCAAAAGTTATATAACAATTCAATAATGGTAGAATTTTCTTTTCCGTAACAACAAAAAGGAAAACTGCCCCATACTCACCAAGATCAATACTGCTGCTAATATGGATGCAATAAACTGTTTGAATGAGAATCTCACCTAACAAATTCTTCCGTTAAGTCTCAACCCTCCTTTGTACAACACTCAACAGAAAAACATGAACTTCTGTTCTATTATTTACATGGAGTACCTATGAAGACAGCTAATATAAATTGAACATTGTTCATATATAAATATACAATCTTTGTATGTATATAAAATTTGGAGCAAGTCCCATTCATTAATCCTAAGAGTCACAGTGCCTTTCATCTAATTCTCAATGCACTCCTCTAGCACTGCATGCCAGATGCAATAAAGAAAACAACAGTAACCATTCCCTAGTTCCTTAATTAAAAAGTAAGATTAAGCTTGAGAAAAAAAGTTGACCAAATGGAATCTGACACCAGCCGAAGAAAAAAACTTGTAAGGGATAATCTACCATCCTAAATCACCAGCATAACATAACTGAACTCAGGAGGTTCACCGCTGGGGGTGCATCAAATACAACACAACCCAAGAAAGTATTGAAAGCAAAGAACTTTGTATTATTTGCTACAAATAAGGAGACAAGGAGATAGCTCTCAAAGCACTCTCTCTCAGTGAGGTTAGTACAGGAAACCTTTACTCAGTGTATCAGGGGGCAGGAGCAGGGAGCTCACATAAGCCCTGTGGTTCAACTGTGCTTGCCTAGCATGTCAACATGCTTCCTAGTGCACACGTCCTATGTATGAAAACTCTGCCCACAGGAGGAGACCTCAGAGTTATAATGAACTAAAGGTAACTTCAGGACAACTCAGGGGGGCTTCTGCACAGGTCCTCACTTCTAATCCAGCTCAAACTGGCTCATGTAGGGGCTATCAAGGGAGATACACCTAGCAAGGGGCTCTCAAGTGAAACATGTAGTTGGTCCTCTCCTTGGCCAGAACTGTTGGTTTTGCAAGACAAAACACATTCCTTCCCTGCTTTTGTCCCTTCCCCTCCTTCCTTCTGCTGAGAGCTTTCGACTGCCTTATTTGAGACCTCTTCTGTGAGTAACTTCCTGCTGCATTCTAGCTAACAAAAAAAATGTCAGATTTATTTTCAAGGTATTTTACAATAACATTAGCAAAATGGCAAAACTACTTTGTTATAATTTTTTAGGCACTATTTCTGTTACCAGGAGAATAACCCTTCACAGAGTTCCACCACCTGCATATGCACAATGTAAATTATAGTACACATACCCAACATAAAATCCTCCCCACTGACTCCCAACACAAAAAACAAAATAAACAAAATATACCATAGAACATCTGTGAACACTGTACCAAAGGTTCTTATTGTCACAAAAGTGAAGAAAAGGAAATTTTTCATTATGGTGGAATCAAAGTCATTGTAGTAAAATTCCATTTTGCTCCATAAAATCGTCCTCTTTTCCATTTATCATTTCACTCTAAAACATGTTTAAGAAAGTCCCATAATTCAGATAATCAAAAGTTCTATCCATTCTACCTTAAGCAACTTCCAGCAATTTTTGAAATTTTCATCCCCATTTCTTAAAAAAAAATAATGCCATAACAGTTACAGACATTAAGGGCAAAGTTAGATCTTTATTAATTCTTCCTGCTTGCTAGCCCTG